ACTGAGCAGTGCTTGGCGCCTTCTCTACAACAAAAATGGCGTTTGCCATGTTAATTATCACTTCTGCATCGCTTGACACCGCTTGGTAACGACCCTTACTTGAAAAGGAGCTGCCAAGATAGGAAAAGTAAGAGAGCTGCGGTTGCCTTGTGACGGGTTGTTCATCTGCTATCAGGTCTGTAACGTAACCTCTTTCCTTGTCCCAAACACTCCTCCATTCCTCGGGGTTGATTTTTTGGCTCTGCCTTGCCATTCTTTTCTCTGGTGAAGACATACTTCTTCGTAGAGACCTTTTCTTAACTTTTTCTTGAAGTTCTTGGTAAATGAAAGGCTTCGATGAGTCTCTCGGCGATCCAACAAGATCGGTCAGCGAGGAGGACCTCCGTGATGTCATTCTATTTGAAGGTGATTGCCTAGATTACAGAAAGAACCACTCCATGTTTCAAGATACAGACGCTCTTTATTTCAAAGATATTGAATTATAGATCAGTGTCAAGACTCCTGAAATGCCCAGTTTTCCCCTTCCCTTGTGTATTGGTGTCCCCCCCCCTCTCCCTCTCCCCCACTCCTCCCCCACCACCAGCTACGTTCACGAGAAATATCCAGATTTCCTCTCTTCCGACACTCGACACTTTTTCAAAGTTAAACATGACCTTTCACGGCTAAGCTCAAGCTGATATGGCGACTTAAAACGCGCGATTTATTGGCTGCTTTATGTCATGTGGTGCAAAATCACCGGACAGTTACTTTGCAATAACCTCGGTCTACTTCAATGTTTGTTCTCATTAATTCCGACGAAAAAAAAAAGGTAACCGTTAGCCGTAAGAGCCTTCACCCCAATGAGACCCTCTGTAAAGGTTGGAGGGAGGGAAAAAAACAAAAACAACGCTGGTAAGTCTTAGCAGTTTTTATGCTTTGGTGACTCAAGAGTCAGTATCGATGACGCTTTCGGCAAAAGTTACACAGTCCGAAATTTCGCTGTCATCATGAAAAAAAAAATGAATTCAACGCTCAAATGCCGAACTCGCCTTTTCCCCAGACTAAATAAATTCAGTGTAATAATCAGTCTAACTTAATAACTCAGATTGTTGGTTTTATAAAAAATTTTTACTATTTTCAAAGCAAACTTACCAGCAGATGTTCCCTATTTCAATTTCCACAGATTCTTCCATTAATATCACTGTTTGCTCCTCACAAACGCGAACAGTCTTGCCAATCGACAACGAGCGAGATTATGACACGAGGGAAATAAGAAAACTAATGTTAATATAAACTTGAAGTGGCATTGACGTATATCTGGGAGATATTTACGTCAGCAGCTAGTCAAGAAAGGTGCTGAAACTATCCTTTCAAGCCTGACCAAAACACAGCATGTTATTCCCGGCCAGGTTAAAGTTTTGAGCTCTCGTACTCAAACATACGCATCTAACCATCTTGCTCACTGTTAAAAGAATCATTTCCCGATAAAGAGGCTAGCGACTACTCTCTGTCAGTAGTAGTCTAATAAATATATTATATCCGACACAAATTTTGACTCGAAACAAAGCTTTCAAAAAATTGTCTTAAACACACACAAAAAATTAAGCGAGATACAGAAGGTCAATAAAGGCTGAAATCGAAACTCATCTCAAAAAAACAAACGAGTGTCTACGAATTTTTCTACGTCAACCTCGATGTCAAGTTTAAAGTCTCTGAACATGATTGGTTGAAATGATCAGGTCGTTTAAATGTAATTAGTGAGTTTAATTAGTGTAATTAGTGTATTAACTTACCACCAACTTACTTATCTGTATTTTTTTCTTCTCTTTTTGGAGAAATCGAACCCAATCGTCAGGTTGGATTTGACCGGGGTCCGATCAGTTCCCAAATGGGACTTTTTTTCCGTGTCCTTCGTTCATGGATAACGTTCAGAACCTTTTCTGTTCACCTCAGATGGTCTAACAGAACAGAAAAAACACTTCTGAGTTGTGACGTCATTGTTGTCCGTTAATTACCCCTTCTATCAAATGACGCACTAGATTCGCCAGTAACGTCACAAGTTCCTTCTTTTTGGCACTTTCAGGTCCAGCCATAACATTTCAATTACTTTGAGAGAGTATACCCTAGAGAGTCAACTCAGCAGAATAACATGATGGAAGGTACCTTAACTTCGTTTTCTTATTTACAGGGTCGAGAAAACCAATGTCCAAGCCGGACATATAAATCAGTTCAGGGCGTGGCTTTATCACTCGAACAGTCTTCCAAACACAAGGTCTCTATTTTTCCTTTCTCTTTTTTTCCACCAATGACCTTGGAGACCATCCACGGAAGACCTCCATAAACACAATAAACTGAATCAGATTTTCCATGAATATTTTGCCCTTTTTAACTCGTTAATTGCGCGCATGCGCAAGAGCGAGTTGCAGATATGATGTGGAGAATGGCACTCGCTCGCTCGCTCGATTGATCGATTCCTGTAAACTTTTTTTCGATTTTAGGCCTTTGAGTGCATTTGATAGCTTTTGGCGAGTAATAAAAAAACGAAATAGCGACCTTCTTTGCGAAGAATAGTGCTGGAGTGAAAAAGAAGCCAATGATAATCTTAAAAGAGTTTATTTTTTTTCGTTTTAGTTTCAACAAGCGGCGCCAGCGACTGGCAGGCGTGCGAGGATTCCCACTGAAATAAGAGAAAAACCTTCGCTTTTCATAAAATTGTAAGTTAAGATCCTTGAACTTGAAAACAATCCGAAGATTCATTAAAAATATCACTTACTCCGAAGCGCTCGGAGTTTACAGGTGTTCAAAAGCTTTTTTTGTTATGGCGTGAGATTGGGGACAAAATTGATCATTACATTTCGTATCGTGTGTTTTTTCTGTGTGAAGCAACAAAAGGTGCGGGCGACTGACGAAATTACAGGTTAACACGGAAATCAAATAACACCTAAACAAATAATTTTGGCTAGCGATTTTCAATGAATTTTTAAAGAACAATTTTCTTTTAAGTTTCAAGGATATTTGAAGATTCGAACTAAATATTACGTACTAAAATGCGAAAGTTATACACCACAAAATTGATAAATAGGCCTGAAATGAAATTCTGCCTTGTTCTTGATTATATGTTGCCTAGCACGTGACCAAAATCTACCCAGGCGGAAATCCAAAATGACGGTGGCAGCCTGGGCTTAGTTATATCACTCAAAACTCGTTTCCCCTTTGTCTCATTTGATAAAGAGGGAATCATTAATGTTTTCATTGAGACAGTATTGCCTTGATTTTCCAATATTCACAATGATAGACAGTAAATTTCACTTTTCACCCACATTTACTTCCAACCTTTTCTTTTGAACCAGAAACAAAAATAATATATGTTTAAAACACGACATCATCCACCCTTGTCAAATGTCATAGCATGATTATTTCAATTGTAATGCCTTCTTATCCCAACGTTACTTTGTTTCTTTGCTACATTAGCGAACACTGAACTACTGCTCGTACTCTAAATATGACAATCAACCACAAATCCCTAAACCAGATAACATTAAACATAATCCAAAAAATCATGTTAGTCATCTGTCAATTCACGAGTTTGCTTACAGAGCACTTTGATTTTTCTTGGCAGTAAGGAGAGACCATTCATAAATAACCACGTCAACCAAGCAAAATTACGACTAATATTCCTTCTCGGAAAACTTAAGGTTTAACGGTATGAAGACGTCGATGTTCCTTTAATTTTGCTAAGTGTTTTATCATTCGGACAAAACTTTAGGATAGAGAATTTCATAGTCCTTTCCAACATTAGTGACCGTGCATACGACTGAAAAGTACCTTAACTAAAAATTGACGGACGGTTAACGGCATGCGAACCGATCCGAATTACAGCGTGGCTTCACTGACACCGCGTGATCCGAAGGTCTGAGGTTCGTTTACTCATAGGGAAGACACATTTTTTCCTTTGTCCAATTCTCGAAATTTTCCTAGACATATTTACACAACAATGTATCCTTCAGCAACTCTAGTTAAACAGCAACATTTAAAGAAGCTTAAAAACTGACAAAATTGGAAGGCTTTGTTCGTATATGCGAAGTCTGGAAATGCTCCCCTATCAACCTTTCACAAAATATCATATTTTCCTAAAAATTTGACAAATTCAGAACGACCTGATGTAAATAGCCAACGCAAAACCTTTTCAAACGGCTAGTAGATGGTCAAGAAACCGGGTTGCCACCGCGAGAGATCTGAGAATTTATTGCCAGTTAATTCAGGTATGCTCTCACTATCAATGTCTAAAAAATGAACTGAACATATCTATTTTTTCATTTGTTTTATCATGAAGTCACTTCAACAATCACTGCAAACATTACGAAGCGCTTAATTAGCTGCTTCAATCTTTATTCCTGTTGACCATTTCGCTCTAGTAGACGGTCGGTAGTCGACCGTCACATATATTTTGAGAAGGCCCTTAGGCTCATGGGAATTTTTTCAATTCCATGGGAGTTTTGACACCTCATGCTGTTTGAACGGTAGAGGTTTTCTTTTGCGAACAGCAAAAAAATTTTCCATTTAATTTTCGAGTCATGTTTGTTTCTGCCGCTATCATGAGCGGCGGACGAATGACGAGAAAGCGCGGAACGACATGAGGAAACCTTGCATGGATGGGAAACGAGTTTCGTAGAGAAAATTTTAAAATATAATTTCTTTTTTTTTTTTTTTTAATTTAACCGTCGATATAAAAACATATTGCGACACCTTTACACCTCTCAAATAAATTTAATGGATTTCACTTGACATGAAACCTCGACCTTGCATCAAATGTAGCCTGTATGCATTTATTTGCCTGATATATTTTCATTTTCTTTGCTTTGCTGTGAAAAAGAAAAAAAAATAGTGATTGGACAAACTGTCTTCAATACATGCCGGCCCCTACTAATGACTGCAAACGAAGAGTCAAGGATTCAAAGTAAAAATTTTCTTTACTATTAAAACTTACATACAAATTAATTAAAGTTTAAGAAAGTGTAATATTCTAGATTCTGAATGAGTTTGTAAAGTTCGCCTTTTGTGCCTCTATAAAGTTCAGTTTATACACTAAATATTCACTATAACGTCTAAGTTAACTGGCCTTAACATCGCTTAATTAAAGGCGTCTAAGACACAATTGTTAAAAATAAATTGGACTTAAAAAATGCACCAAGCCCACCTAGTGCTCGACACACATACGGCAAATGCCTTGTCATTAGTAAAGTTCATTATGAGAACTTCAAATGATTGCGGAAAATCGAGACAGCAAAAACCTCTTCAGAAGAGCTATCACATTATTATTACCAAATTCTAAATTATTCTATCCTCATCATTACTTTTGCAATAATCTGTTCCGTATTTCAATAAATCTAGCTCGACAAATTCGTGTTCGCATTTTGGTTACATGTCATAATATTTTCCTACAGAGCGACTAAGCACTTAATCCTAGCCCTCGAAGGATTGCAATTTTTTTTTCAACATTAAAAAACGCAATCGCGAACACTCATAATAAATCAGACTTCTACATAATCACAGTATAACATTTAAAGACTGTTCCCGTAATAACGTTCTCGCTCTCTTTGTAGCCTTTACCAGCCGTTTGACGGTTAATTCTGAAGTCTACCTCAAATATATCAAAGAACAATGCTCGCAAGGAAAAATTACCATACTTTGCCTCACAACTGTGATCTCATCAATAAAGCAAATTAAAATTATTTACATAGGAGAGAGGACGTTCTCCGCTCGTTCTTTAGTGCTCATCACCAATCAAAATAGCTACAACTATTTATTTATGCGAATCTTAGCCCAAAATAAAAACACAGTCTCTACAATAACCTGGGGAGAAGTCGTCATTTCGGTGCGGAATTGTTTTAGCATTTGATTCGCTTATTTTTCTTAATCATTATTATTATTTTGGTAATCTGAATGAAATCTAACGAAAAGTTGTTCCATTTTCTGAATCGGGACTCGATATTGCTAGCTATATGTGATTTAAATATGATCAAGCTGTTAAATGTTTCACAGGGTCTGATCAATGCATCAAGCGGTCACCCCTTAAAATAATACACTGAGCAGTTCTTCAGTCGTAATGAGTTAATCCTTCTTCCAATACAATCCAACCCTAAGGTTTTTACAGAGCATATTAGCGAGCAAAAGACCCAGTTAAAAGGCACTGATTTGTTCGGCAAAGAAAAACATAAACTAACTGAAATATTAAACACATTTATGCGACAAATGTGAACACTAAGGGCCTTTCAATTTATACGAGACGAAACTAGATGCATAAATTTATTCACGTTAAATAATTCGTCGCGGGCGTTCGAAACAACCAGAACTGATAATAAACAGAATTCTTGCTGATTTCTAGTTACAATTCAAGACAATGTGATAAAATAACGAACTAGCCGGTTGCCGACTGGCCGTTTCGTCTCTTTGGGTTTTTATCTATGAAAATTTTTCTCCAATGCGATAGTTATCGCGTGAAAACTGTGCATCACTTTACACATCAAAAGCCTAAAATCGTGCAAAGACAAACACAATGTTGTGTGTTCAACAGTTGCTTTCTTGTCTACAAGGTGTCGCCTTGTTTCGAAAGCAAAACGTTACAACAATATAGTGAAACATACCACTTCGACACACTTCCGAGATACGCCGACGAAATTATACCGCCATGTACCGTAAATTTTTTGAACGGTGCGTTATAACAATACGGGTGTAAACGTTGAATGGCAGGCGGTTAGTTTCAGTTTACTTCGCGCCGGCTGGATCCAGCAACCGCATAAGAGAAGGGTAACACTGAACACCGCGTACGAATTCATTCTGTGTAATTGTTCCATCATTGTCCCGGTCGAGCTTTGCAAACAGCTTGTGCGTGAACTTTTCCGGCGTGTTCTCGTCTCTTGGAAGATTTACCCGGTCGCCTGCAAGGCGAAAAATCCCTCGCACGATTTCCAACATCTCGGCACGAGAAACCGCGCCGCTTCCATCTGAATCGTACATCTCAAAGGCCCATCGTAGTTTCTGCTCTGTCGATCCTCGCGATATGATAGACAAACCTTGAATAAATTCGTGAAAATCAATTGTTCCATCCTTGTTTTTGTCGAATGTGCGAAAAACATGGCCTGCGAAGATAGTCGCGTCGCCTGTGGAATAGTGATTCTTGTAGATCTCCGCGAATTTTTTTTCGGACATTTTACCGTTTGGGCATTTCTCGCGAAACGCTTTATGCCAAGTGTGCAACTCGTCTTCCGTGAATTCGGTTGACAATCGCAACTCTTGGATATCTTCCGCCGTCAATTTACTTTTGCCTTTTTTCAAAGCATTAGGTTTTGTCCCCTTGTTTCCCATCTCCTTATGTTCGAAGTACGACGAACTAGCAATACCCGCCCCCAAGTGAAAACCAACACTAGCTAAGCACTGCAAGTGTTGAATTTAAATTCACGACGCTGTACAGGACAGCCACAGCACACGATTGGTCGCAGGTTAATTTGCATAGAAAAACTCCAGAACCTCTCAATACAGTGACTTTGTCGTGGTGACGATATACAAATGATTCTTGATCGCGCCAAAGGTGCGTGTAAATCATTAATGAGCTCAGTAATGGAAATGTTTTCATTTGCGCGACCGAGAAAAGCAAGATAAAAGAAATAAAAGTAGGTCAAAATCAGACCACAACGAAAGATATTTCTCAGCTGTAAAACTCCAATTTTTTTTAAAAGAATACTTGCGACGCGCACGTTTTATTAGTGTTTTCTTAATGATATGGAAATTTCCTCAGCACGCTTTTCCCTTTAATTTGGCCTATTAAAGGTTCGTCCTTAAAGGTACTTTTCAGTGCAACATCGGTTTTCAATGACAACTAAATAAGTTTTCCTCGTCTGATAAGCGAACAATTACGCGAAAAAAACTTACCATCGTTAATATTAATGTGGCAAACAATTGAAATATTGGTCTCGGAAAAATTTAAAGTTCCGCGGCGGTCTTATTTCTGACCAATAACTTTGCCAAAATTTGGTTTTCTTATTCGAGTAAAATCTTCCCCTTCACCCACGCGTTTGCGAAACCATTTGAAACACGCCTGTAACCATCTGTTACGGCAACTTTCCTCATTAAAAGTCGAAGCGCAGGAGGCCGAAACTGTAAACATAGCACAACAGAAATAAAGAGAGTCTCCAAAAGCCGTCGAAGAGTTAACAGACAATTCAGGGGAAAAATGTCCTCGCGTGGATACACTGTCATCATCAGTCTTCAGAATATCGAAGAACAGGATTCTTGATAAGCAGATTGTTTGGTCTGGAGTAAGAGATTAACCTTATCTACGCCAAGATGTTAATCTGTCGCGAATGTTTAGCGCGAGCGAGAAATTCAAACAGTAGATTTTTCGGTGATACTAAGTAATTTTGGAGGTAAGCAATTAGCAGGAAATTCTACAGTTTAACCATAACATAAAATCATAAGCCAAGTCTCATGACACTGATTCTAATTATCGAAAAGAAAAAAACATTCTTCTAAATCTTTATTAAGCATCGAAAGAAGATGTAAACACATTCAGTGAAGAGCCTATAGCTAGTTTGTTTGTTTTTAACAGTACTAAAAATGTTGGATATTACACTTAAGCAGATTTATTAATACAAAAATGTTTACTCCAAAAAGCCTAAGGAAAGGCCGGAATCATGCTAGATAAATATATGATATCCAAGCTGTATCAAAAATGCATGTTTATTATTGATTCAACCCACTAAAAAGATGAATAAATATTTTACAAGAAAACTCTTACTTCTTATGAATATTTACAATGTTAATTTCTCGTTCTTTTTCTTCATCTCGATTTCATTTATTGAATTTTCGCTAATGTTGGATCATTCATTTTCGATCTATGATGTTATGAAGAACTTAGTAATGTGCAATTTAGCGTGGATCATGATCAGATATCAAACAAAGCCCGTAGAATTTTTAATTCCTATAAGTAATTCAGTAGTTACAGTGACATTTAAATTATCTTGTTCGGTGAAATATTATCAGTAGATAACTGGTATTAATTATTCGAATGTTTCGACAGAATTCTACAAACAATCAGCTAGTGAACTCGCATCAATTCGCTTCAGACAATAACAATCCTTGCATATCCGCAAATTTCCGGTATTAGGACGCAACCAAAATACGTCCAATATCATTAACCGCCTTGTCGGGGATCTTATAAATAGACGATGAAAATCTCGCTACAATTAATGAATGCTATACACTCCAGCACGAAAACAAATCAAAAACTTGTCCTTGCTTTGTTTCGGCTCAATTGGAACTTTCTATCAAGCGTTTAGATGAGTTTGAATTACAGTTTCATTTCAGTTCTAATCCCCAGGAGGTGATGCTCTCCATGTTAAGGAATAAATAAAGTGTTACTTTCCTAACAGCAGAATTGGAATTAAAATCAGGGCCCGAGGTTGCGGGCTCTGAGGCATAGTGCTAATTAAAAAGAATAGGAACGGCTCGCTACAACACCAAGACACAACATGATCAACACAAATATCTCTAACACCTATATGTTCAAGAAACGGTATGGCATTAAAAGTGCTAATTACAAAAAATTCTTTTAACACTGAAACACCTAGAAAACAGTATTTACCTCTTTCTTCATTTACATGTTAGATTGTTTTAATTCATTATTCACGTTTTCCTCTCTGGCTTCTGTCTATCAACATTGTCCTATCCGATACTAAAATTTCCGAAGCTTGAAGAGTAAACTTGAAGTGTAAAAAAAAACTTACTCTAGCCTTCAAAGTTTCCTCCAAAACTCTTACGTGACGATTCAGGTCAGAAATTTTGCCCTTATTTGTATTGCAAATTGGAACTAATAGATCCTCTTCTAATACGGTAAAAGAATGCATTGGTTATTAAGAGGTTATTTCCCTAAATGACTATGGCTGAGTCTACATTTCAGCGATATTTAAACGCGCCCATCTCATCGGCTTTGGGATGACCGGTCAAACAAGAAAAGCCGGTCATACTGGTTTTTTTGGAACTCTTACCACCAGCCGTTGTGGCTGAATCAGTTACATTGCGGTCAACAGCCAAAAACCTTCATGTAAACCATCTGTGTTAATCGCAGCTTGTTATCGCTACAATCAACGAACAGATCCCTGATCTTGGCGAGTGTAGGCGTTAATTCGCTCATATCGAACGATCTAAAATCCGTTAGTTCTGCTTTAAAGTAAATATCACGTCCTTGTAAAACAATATCGATATCTACCGAATTCTTTTCCTTTTTTTTTTTCGAATGAATCACCACCCCTCTTAGGGTTACATCTAATTGCAATTCCATACAAAGAGTACAAAAATATTAACGAGGGTGATGCGACCAGAGCGCGATACTACACTTCACCAATTAAAACCCACACTCCTTTACAGTCTTAAATGTTTATTTTCACGATGATCAGATACGATCCACTGATAAAACCGATATCAGTCTTTGTTCAATTTGCACCTGGACGTGTTCCTTATCTACATAACAAATCTCATTTATTACTTCCAAATTAAAATGTGTGTTTTGGCGACCAGCCGCGTACAAGGCTGAAACGGGTACATTGAAATGCATTTTACGCCGCCAAACTTGCTCCTCTTCTGAATAGTTAAGCTCCGTGGAAAGCAAGGATTAGCTTATAAAACAGATGTTGCGAAAGAAGACTGATACAAAAGAACAACTGAACGGATTGGTTTTTATCTCTTTCGCGCCCGCTACACATTAAGATCATTTATTAAAATCTTTACTACTGGACTGTGAATTAGAACCACTCTTGACTTTTTGAAAGCTTTGCCTGATGGTTTTCTCATTTCACGGGTTCTTTAAATTGGAAATAAATGAGGGATCCTTGAGTTCGTTTGAGAGAATTAGACCCTTGTTTAAGCTAAATAAATAATAAGCCATTTCGACCATTGCCTCTTATTCCGCACTGGGAATCGGTTCATATTTAATTTGCACTGTGAAACGGTTCATATTTAATTTGCACTGTGAAAGTTATTGCTTCGTTCCAAACAAAAGAGGAAATGGCGGGTGATCATCTCTGTTTACAGAAAATGATCAATCACTCCTACCTTGAGCTTCGGGCATGAAAACTATCGGCCGATTTTTAAATGTGCGCGCTGATCACGCTGAAATCTCGCGCAATCCCCTCTTTAAGTCTTATTCAAAGTTTCTGCATAACTCTCCATCTGATGACACAAAGTATTCAAGGCGGAAAACGTTTTCAGGTGCGCTGGTTTTCTGGAAGGTTATTCCCTAATTATGACAAATTAATCATTACAGTTTCCTGCGAACGTTTTAATTTTTTCTTACATTTTGTGTCAGCAGTTGTTACTTATGTTTTTGTTTAAAATTTTACGCGCGAAATATTAGCTCGCAGCGGGCCAAAATTGATTCACTTGCGCATGCCCAACGTTTGAAACACAGCGGTCCAACGTAAGGAGAAGGATAATTAAGAGTTTTCGTGCCCAAAGTTTTTCGATTGCGGGTTTCCTGTTAATCTATTATTTAGTTGTGAGCTTCATCAAAAAATTTGTACGCTCTTGAAAAAACGTAATTTTTTCCTTGGGTGGTTGAATACAATTCCTGAAAGACAACTTGGGTCTGACAGCCTGAAAGAACGCCACCTAGCCACTTCAACGTTCGCACATGCGTAGACGTTTGAACGCTGTCAATCCAATGACAACTTAAGTATCAAAGGAAGACAGAGCTCGACAGAGCTGAATAACGTCTGCGCATGCGCTGGACTTTGACGCGAAAAACGGATTTTGAGTCGTCTGAACGTTCGACTTTCTATTCTGTGGCATCTCGGCCTTGTTTCCTTGCTGCTTTTCTTTTACAGAAAAACCTCGAAAGACCTTGTACATCCCTTAAACATTTTCAAAAATTGATTTTCTCCTTAACAACACTGGAAATGGGAAAATGCCTTCAACGATGCCAGCCCCTTTTTTCTCCGCAAATTTCGTTGAATTTTTAACCTCGAGCGCTTGGGCCCGCGTTATTGATCGCATAGCTGTGACGTGACATTTCGTTATTCAGTTCTGCCTCAAAGGAATGTTGTCGAGTAACAAAGGTCTGTTATTAGTGTCATACAACTGAAGTCCACTTCCGATGGTTCTCTATTTTGACTTGGTCACAAACAAATCTGCCTCTTGATTGCTTAAAGAATTCGTCACTCAAATTAACCAACGTTAAGGAGCCTAATTTGAAACAATTGCATTAAGTTATAACCTTACCAAGAGTTCTTCAGCCTTTATAAATACCGCGACAGCCAGTGATTCATTTTGCTAAAGAATTCTTGAAAAAAATATTTCTAAATGATGATTTAAGTGCTTTTCATACTCTCTACATTATAGAATTAATTACGTTTTCTGTAAAAAGGAATTTGTCGTCTTATTCATAATTCAGAAGCTTTCTAAATTACACCAACCACTTAACTCATGTTTTGTCAAAACTGAAATGTGAAAGGTCTGTATTTTTTGATGTGCTAATTGCGGTTAAGAACCTTATTATCACTGATTTGTCTTCAGACAGAATTATCATCCGATGAAAGCGCAAAGATGCCTGGGGAACGCACGGAGTTTTAGTAAGTATGTTAAAATTCAGATAAAATGGCGGAAACGAAATCGAAACCAATCCCACGAAAAGACAAAATTTGTGTGTGGACTTTTCCTGAAGGGACACAGCCTGCAGTTCGAGTTGAAGTCGACGGAGGGAAAATCAAAGCTGAAGATCTCCTAGAAATAGCCGGGAAAACTTTGGGAATTAACACCAACAGCCTACAGTTTTTCGGTCTCTTCCGCGGAATTGAAAATCCTACTAAGAAGTACGGTAACAACGAATTTATTTACCTTCCATGCCGCTACGTTATATCAATACAAAAGTGGTCTTTCGACGTTCCGAGAGAGCAAAAGCATCTTAAAACAGATGCCGGCGCAATGCACTTGATCTGTTTGCAGTGTATCGAGGATATTCGATGCGGTAGGCTTAAGCCGAAACCAGATCACATTCCTCTACTGAAGGAATACAGAAATCCAACTTTTCCTTGCGACAAGCAGTACGTGGAACTTTGCCAAAAAATGTTCGGGTATGGCTACGTTTTCCTGCACGATTGCACAATTCAGAATGATGTTAAAATGAAGGAAGTCTCACTCACACAAGGAATGCAGGTTAATCTGATAGCCAACCGAAGAGGATTAATGATAAAATCAAGTGAGTGCGTTATAATTGTTCGCTCTTTAGCTAATAAAACCATAGAAAATTTACGTAATCATTGTAACGCAGTGTTTAGGAATTTAGTCATACATCATTGGATAACTTTCTTTAAAATAGATTGCCTGTTTCATGATCTAAAGCGAATCGAAATTATCGAAAATAAGAGATTGTAATGTGAAGTAAAAATTTCCCTGCGCTCATTTCCATGGAAGAACATCAAGGTACCGACAAACGATGGAAAATTCTTTTTTCGAGTTGATGCGTAGATGGCTGGTCAAAAACGGCGCACAGGAAAGAAATTAAAGAAAATTACAAATTCAGAGAACTCGAGCCGAAGGAACTCATACTTTTCGGCTCATTTCTTGTTGTTTCATTCATTTTGAAATTACGAAACAAACTCAAAATCATTATAACGACGACAACGTGAATAGCAACACTGAACTAACGATTCAAAACGTTTACCGTATTTCACCATAGAAGGATAGCGTTTTGGGATCGCCACCCTGTGTTAGTTTTCATCGTTCATTTGTAGCTCGCTCACCGAGACAATGTTAAGGTAACAAATGTCTTTTGAAAATCATTATAACCCTCAAGACACACCTCTAGTTTTCACTTGTTTAGTGTGATTCTCAACTGAGACTTATGGGTCTGGTGAACGAAACGAACGAACGCTGAGCTCAGGGTCGATAAGTCCTGGGTCGAGTCCCGGCCTGGTCATTGTGTTCTTGTGCAAGGTATTACACTATCGTAGTGTCTCTCTCCACCCAGGAGTATAAATGGGTGCCAGAAAATTGTGGGGGGATGGGGGTGGGGGAACCTGCGATGGACTGTCATTCCATCCAGGGGGAGCAGCGACCACTTCTAGTCACTTTGTTCTTCAGCGACCAGGATAAGCGCAGAGATAAATTCTTTCGTTAGCCTTGGAACACCTAACCCCTTTTATTCACTCTCAACAGAGAAGTCAGCATTTTTCGCTCCATGGCGAAAAATCCGTCGTTGGTCTCAGGCTCAGGGTGACAGCATTCACTTTGAGATTTACTTCACAGAGGAGCTGCGGTTTGAATGGGTAGAGGTAGAAACAGAACAAGTGGCCTTCCTCATGTCAGTTATCGCCGAGTTTGTCTACCTTATGAAAAAAGATCTAGATGAACCAGAGGTGAACACATCCATTTGGAGCAAGGGAATCCCAGTAAAAAAGCTGACATGGAAGCTCATCAAGAAAGAGCTGTTCTCCAAAGACAAAAAACAAGAGGAGAGTGACGACGAAGAAGAACCCTGCCAGGGATTTGATAACCTGGAGGAAGAGGCTTCGACTGATGATGAAGGGTCAAGTGATGACGAAGAAGGGGCTAAAGCTGCTACATCTTCACGTAAAAGCTCCCAATACCGTTTCAGTTGATTTTTTTAGGATATCTTTCACAGTTGTCGTCGTAATTAGACCAGCAAAGCATCTGATTGCCGTTCTACTCCTTCATATAGACAAACAGTTTTTCGAATTGTGTTTTGCTCCTACCTCAATATAATAAAGGGAAATAACAAACACTCACAAGTAATCATGAAAGTGACACGTCTCCTTAATATCATAAACGTTACGCAAGTAGGAAATAACCGGTTCTTCCCCCTCAACCTCTCCCCGCTTCCTGTTCTCTCCCTTTTACCCCTTCCTGTCCCCTGTTCCCTTCCCCCCCATTTCACCCCTTCAGCCCCCTTTTCCATCCCTAGTCCCTGTTCCTTTCCCCCTCACCTCTCCCTGTTCCCTCCTTCTCACACCTTCCTGCCCTTTTCCCATCCTGTTCCTTCCCCTTCACCCCTTCCAGCCCCTTTCCCTGCTTCCTGTTCCCTTTCCCCGATTCCCTATTGACTGTAAATGAACAGGTTCACTGATTAGCAGAGACACGGTAGTCATGTTTCTCTCAAAAATATACATTGTAAATTCAAGATCATTTAGCACTTAAATTTTTTTATTGAGATGAACTATGTGACCTGCGTAGGTAGCACAATTGAGATCTTGGTCTGTATAGCTTTAAAAAACTGTGTATGAGTCATATTTTTGAGGAAAAAGAAAACCTACAATTTAACTCAAGTATTCCATGCTTGTTAGTTAACAGTTGTTTATGATATCGATTTTTTTTTCAAGTAATCAATAAATGAGCCCAAAAGTGGATAAAACAAACAATGTCAATTGATTATATTAACAGCACATGAGGTTTACTAAATAACCAAGAAATAAAAAATACAAGTCATTTCAACATCAGTGTCAGGACCAGACCCTAGTTCTAGTTTCATATTGTTTCCACATTGAAAAGAGAATATTGTTACATGTAGTTTGAAAGATCCTTACAGGCAGTATGGAATCAAACCTTAACATTTATCATGGAACATTACTGCACAATTCACAAAGGAACTCATCGTCTTCTTACACTGCCTACCCCAACTTTCTTCTGCCCAACTTTGCTGGTTGTCTTTTTCTTACTTCCAGATGAAAAGTTCTTCGCAAACCAGTCTGAGATGTCAGGGAGATCTTTTGACTGGTTAAACATGTTCATTGAAGACTGCATTTCCTTGGTAAAAATCAAATAATGATTACACCAAAGGTACAAACAATTAATTAGTATTAATGTAACCCTAAAATGAACTATGCTGTGTATAGGAAAAAGCCAGAAACATTTTCTTTCTTAGGGATTCAGTTAGAAAACAGTCACATATCAGATCTAGTGGAACAATACACAGTGGAGCAAGCAAAAGGAGGGAGAGAACACAGGGAGCAGAAAAATCCTTCCATTTATTCCATTATTTTCTTGTAAGTTCCTCTTGTTTCTCCAGTCAGCACTACAGCATTATTGGACACAAATAACATCAAGTACATGGCTGAGGATTTTTGAACGAATGCATGATGCTACTGAAACACAGTTTATCCCTCTAGTCACCCAACATCAGTATGCACATTCTCCATACTGGCCTCTATAACTTTTCTAAGGTGCTGACAAGGAGAATTTGTTCAACAATCAAGGGCTTCTTTATCTGGTGATCATTTCCTTTACTATTGTGACCTTAATGTGGACTCAAGGGTAATATTGTGAGGAGAATCAGAAGCAAGTCACTCCTATGGGTCAGAGGGTTAGGCACTAAGGATCAATATCAGTATCTGGGCAACTGCCCACCTACCCCTCCCCTAACCCAACAACAGTCAATTGATAACAACTTAGGGTTAATGTTGAGTTAGGGGAGGGGTAGGTGGGCAGTTGCCCAGATACTGATGTTGATCCAGCCCTAATCCTGAAGTTTTTGATCATTTGATCAAGTCTTAGCTAAGACCAACACAAGCAGCCTGAGTGTTTACTCTGTTCATACTTATTGTAAATGCTAAAAGTTTCTTCCTACCTTTTGTGTTTCTGGATCCTGACTGTTAATAAGTTTTGGTAAAACTAACAACAACAGGAGTGGTAGAACCATCATCAGTACCTGTGAAGAAGAAAAAGAATAAATTGGGACCTTGGCTTTAATCCAGGATCAAAACTTAAACTTACAGTAGTTTTGGTATCTCTTGAACATAGCATTATGGTTTATCTCAAAGTAGGAGAAAGCCAAAGGAACAAAAAGATGAACCATGTGCTACAAGATAGAGTCAAATATTCGAACTAACTCCAGGCTAGCCAAATGATGTTATCATATTCAAAGCAACCACAAGCTGAAGTGCACATGGTTGTAGGAAAACTTTCATCTGCCACTCATTAACCAGTGTCCTCCTTTTCAGTCAGTAACCATTAAACGGCTGTAATTTACCACCTGAAATACCACTTATTACCACCTCAAAATTGCTTTGGATTCTTGAAAACTAAACAGGTTAAAAGACTGTGCTACTGGTTTGAAAAGTTCTTTGACTTCTCATGCTCAAAATAAGAACATTGAACGACTGACAAAGCTTTCTGAGGAACTACTCTTCCTTTTTATTCTATACACAGTTGCTGGGACAACTTACCATGGGATTAAAAAGCATATCAGTGACTTTCCACTGTTCTCTCTTCTCAAAGAAAGGTGCTGGTTCTTTTACTTTGAACTTTAGGGGATATGGGACAGTGACAACAGCTGAATTCTGAAGAAAGTTCACTTTTCTTGCCCTGATTTTACCCTTTGCTCTGCCACTGATGTCAACTCTCACAGGCTCAAAGAGGTTGTTTGGTGACAGAACTTCTACTACATATGAACCAGCTGGAACATCATTTACAGTAAAACTGCCATCAGTTTTGAGAAAGCCAATGTAACTCCCACCATCTACAAGAATTCTGGTTTGAGAAATCCAATCTAATAGAAAGAAAAACACTTCATTAATCTCACTGCCTGGTTAGCTCATGTTGTGGAGCACTGGACTGTCTTCTGTGAGGTCAAGGGTTCGAGCCCTTGACCAAACCAATGCTTAGGGTCTTCAAATAACTGAGGAGAATGTGTTGTCTTTGTTGTGACATCTGTAAATGGTTAGAAATTCTAGTCTTCTCTGATAAGGACAGAAAATCTTGGGTTCCGTAGAATTTGTCCTTTCAATTCAAATAAGTTTTATGGCTAATGGGTCTTGAGAACTGAAAACTGCATCCTCTGGAAGGTGTTATCTTGATATAAGACCAAATGCTCCTACCTAATTCTCAAGGGAAATATATGGCAGGCAGTGATGAGAATTACTGTTTGGATCTTGAGGTTAAAAGGGTTAAGACATAGATCAGTTGGTGAAAAGCCATTGACACTGCTAAATAGCTCATTCTAAAATTAATAGTTTGGAAAAAGATTTCTAGAAAATTGTCGAAGAATTAAGTCTACATAGTCTTGAAACTTAACAGTTTTTATATTGTGGGGGCTATTTCTAGCTCTAATTAGTGATCTAATGGTTTGTCAAGAATTGAAACCTCTGAAAGGGTCAAGCATTTGTTACAATCTGTAACACAAGGCTCCTGTGGCTTACAATGCCACTTTATTGTACTCACTACATTTTTATTTCATATGTATTCCCTGACAGAACATACACTCGAAATAATAGAATATTTTTTTTGAAATATAACATTATCCTTATTCTGCATGTTACATCTGATCTAAATTCCATTGTCTGTATTTTAAACCGAGCACGGACGGTCTATTTCATTCCACTCAACTGTACGGGCTAACTTAATTCAGTTAACCTGCTTATAAGGTTATCCTATTCCACATAACTATATATTTAATCTTACAAATGTAAGCTTTTGAAACAAACAATTCTGTATTACTCCCAGGTGTAAATTTATAGCAGAATTTATTGATGAGACCTTTAATAGCATATTATCATGAGTACATTTCAAAGCTACCTGCAACAAAATTAGAGAGCGCTAGAAGAATTATCCAAACCACTGTTATAAGAAAATACACAGTTCAAAGTCTTACCAGCTGGTTTGAAGCCTTGTATGGTCACTTTTCCATCGATTTTGTAGCGTTCTAAAGACTCGTCGCTATTCCCGTCTGCTTGCCGAACGTTTGGAAGAATATTAAGTATCATTAACACTACATAAATGTACAGTTCTGTCAATTCCATTGCTGCTATGACTGACGAAAGCAAGTTATTAACGTTACAAGAAATAAGATGCGATGAATCGCCACAATTTTACTTCTTCACTTCGTTGATAGGAAGATCGCTGACCTCATATGCCGATTAGTTTCCAGGCTACTGTCATAAATTCACTGCTAAATAAAACTGCCGAAGGTCGCCTGACGATTTTCACCGTAGAGCCATTTCTTTCAGTACGGGCGTTTTATAAGGTCGAGTTGACATTACAAGTTTACAATCGTTTGTTCGACCAGCCACATTAGAGTTAGAGTGTACGTTGCGAGATGCGGGCGGGGAAGGACGTGAAGAATTTCTAATTCCCCATCTCCTTCCTTTGGACCGTCGCTCACCCCCTTGGTACAAATTTCTTTCTCTCCCTAGCCTCCCACTGCTGTATTTATCAAAGATGGCAGCTGTAATTTTCACGAAGAAAATACTGAGCAATCACTTGCCAAAATTACGTCTGCTCTGCAGGCTACATCAGAAAGGTATGTTTACTTTCGTGATTTAGTTTATGACTGAGCTTGTAATTATATCTTTCGATAAGATTTCTGGACACCTCCATATTCATTATGCTTACAGTTCTTGGATATGAAAAGGAAAAATGATGAAAACACTACATTGCCTTTGGAGCTATGACTTTGTTTTAACTAGAGTAGGGGTTATCGGAAATCTGTCTATTTCTTTTCACAAGGAAAGCATTATCAGGGTACCGTTTCTCAAGAAATGTACCTTGTGCATCATAATAGGTTCAGAAACTTAAGGTTCTGTTTTACCCCTCAGATAAAGCATTGGTCAGCTCACACCTTTGGCATATCGTCAATGAGAAACCTCTATGCCTTGTAGCAATTTAAGTTAGGATTGATCAAATTCCCATACTGAAAAAAAAATATGTAAAAAAAAAAAAAAAATGTCTAGGTGATCAGGAGATAAAATGCCACACATTTAGTTTGACCTTCACAGCTTTTACCAATGCTATTACATATCCAAGATCTCATAAAATGATGCATTGAGAATAAAGGGGCTGAAATGGAAATCCTTTTCACAGGATTTCTTGTGCTGTGAAATTTGCCAAATAAAAAAGTTTCTTTTTGAAATTGTCTATCACAACCATGATGCTTTCCAACTTACTGAATTGAACATAGGTATAAACTTAAATGTGGTGCGATATGTTAAATTCCCACAGAACTGTTCCATGCAGCGAGGAATCCCCTCCCATAACCCAGCCACTGAGTTCAAATTTCCTTCTTTCCAGGCTTATCAGAGTCAAATTTTGGGGATGTGCTCTCTGGATAGGAAGGGGGTACAATGTTGATAGTGATTCTGTTTGATTGATACAACAAAAGAATGAGCAGACCTTCCAACAGGGAACAGACATAACCATGGAAACCCCTCATTTCTCTTTTGTTTTGAACAGGCAATACTCCCCAATTTCCAGATTTGGATCCACGATGCAAGCAGTTTTCCATCTCACATATTGATCATATCGTGCTAACAGTTGAAAATATAGAGGCTACAGTACAATTCTACACCCAGGCTCTTGGGATGGATGAGGTTACATTTGGTCAAGGTAGGAAAGCTCTTGGATTTGGAAATCAGAAATTCAATTTGCATCAAAAAGGGAAGGAGTTTGAACCAAAAGCTGCAAATCCAACACCTGGTTCAATTGATATTTGCCTTATCACAAACACACCAATATCAAGTGTTATCACACACCTGAGGAGTCTAGATATAAAGATTGAGGAAGGACCTGTTCAGAGGACTGGTGCCCAAGGACCAATTACTTCCATTTACCTTAGGGATCCTGATAGAAACCTCATCGAGGTGTCTAATTACAATGATAATCATTGAGCAGATAGGCAAGGGTTCTTAGAAATAAAAATACAGACTTTAATGGGCTTTGTCTTTACAGAATATGTACTTATTGACTGAGTGGGAGGGCTGGAAAATATTTGGCTTGAGGTTGTGACATATGAACCACACTGTGCTCAGTCAATAGGCAAATTATCATATGACCACTTTGAAAATTTTGTTTTAACTTAAAAAGGACAAGGTAGACAGACACACATGAGACAACCACAAAGGAGATTCATAAATTGTATTTGAAGCAGTTGTTTAAAGTGCCAATTGCAACATTGATAACATATGACACTTTATCTGAAAGTTTTTTGATGAGTGAAATAAAAGATAAAAAATTGAGAGATATATATTAACAGAAACTACAGAGATGTATGACATTGCATTGCATGTTTTCATTGTTCATAAGTCCATCAGCTAAATAGCCAGTCAATATGGAGAGTATTACTATCTTAAATGCTCCCTAAAAAGGACAAAATGAGAGAACATGATTATTAGAGAAAAAAGGTTTGCATTTTAGTTTGTTATTATGATACTTGAGGTAGTTAGTGCAACAGTTTCATGAATGAAGCTTACAAGCTTCAAAGTATGAAGAAACATTCAAAATAAGAAAATTTCAAGTTCTAAAACATTAAAATATTTTGACCTGGCTTTCATCAACAGAACCATTGTAAAAAGGGGCTTGACCACAGAAAATGATTTCACTTAATAATGTACTTAGCACATTTAAATATAACAGGGTGAACCCTAGATCAAGTCACAACACATTTTTGTTTCAAGTTACACAGTAAAACAGACTGGTACCTTTACATCCCTCAGAACATGACTATGTGCTGAACCTGTGCTTGTAGCTGGAATGATCTGAAGAGAGTGAAATGATGGGATACATTATTCCTCATCTGGCTTGTACCTTAAGAAAATCAGCTTGTATCCATCTAGGAATTATTACTAAATGTGTTTTGTTTGTTTGTTTGTTTTAAATTGTAAAAAATCAGGAATGCTTTTTCACTCAAGCAGCTATTAGCAAGATAGTTTCTGTAAATAAAAATTTCTTCTGAAATTGGGTGAAACCATTTGAGTCAGATATCTGGTAAATGAAGTTTTGTTCTCTCTCTTTCTCTCTGTATTCCACCACGTATTCAGCAAACACAACTTCTTTGATGCAAGTTCAGTTTCAAAAAGTGCAGGGATAACCAACTCATTTTGGTTTAAGAACTAAGCATGCTGTGCACCCTCAATCTTATTTTGTTCATTTTACTCACCGCTCCAAGAAGATGACATGGAACCAAAGCCGAGGTCATAACTTGATGGACGAGAATAAGGCTCTGTGCTTCCTGGGCGAGGGGTGCTCGTTATGGCCTGAGAGGTGGATGAAGAACAAGCAGAATTGAAAGAAGGCAAATGACTTCAGTTCAGTGTAGCTCTCATTTATGAACTTACTTGTGCTAACCTAAGTCTTTTTGGTAATTTAAACCAAAAAAAAAAAAAGTGAAAGACTTATGAAAAAAATGGTTCTTTGGGTCATGAACCATTCTCTCTCTCCTTATTGTATCACATTAGAAACATTTACACCCATATAAGGAAGCCTGGATTTCTTGTACACTATACATCCATGAAACGAAATTCTGAAAATTGAAAGTAATTAATTTTCAGAAATTCTCTACATACCTTTTTTGTCCTCTGTGGTGATATTCGCTTAGTTACTACCTCTCCTTTGGCAACAACCTTCCTCTCCCTGATTAAAGCCGGCCACACAAAGTAATCGATAGTTGTGGCACTGAATTCAGAGTCATACGTTCTTCTGTAGCGTATGTCATTAATGACGTCACCTTCCAACGCTGCGGGAAGGTCAATGGGAGGATCCAGGGATATCATGGCCCAGGCCACTCGTAGAACCTCACGGACGAAAGGAACGATATTTTTCTCATTGCACGAGACGTAAGGTGCGATTGTTGAGTTGCGATATAACGATTTTATCACGTCCTGTTAAGAAGAAAGACAAATCAAAAGGAACTCTCATTCGTGTTTTCAGTCAGCCTTGGATCTAAGTGAAAATTAAGGAAATACATGGTTCTGATTAGGATTTTTCGCTCACCGGAATTAGCGTCTCAATGTCGTACAGTTCTGTATTCTTTTTCATGTAATTATCAACTAGCTCGTTGATTTTGTCCGACTCCTTCGGATCACCTTTGGGGCCGGTTTGTAAAGCCTGGTTCATCCGGGTTCTCATCCTGTGCTGTTCTAGTTTGCTGACTGTAAAGCACTCCTGCACAAATGGTACAACATTCGGTTCAGATGTTATTATCAAATTTTAACTCTTTTTACAAACCCAATTCTAATTCTTTATCGTCCGATTATATTCCGGTGGGTGACTTTAGGGACGCTGGAGAATTTTTCCCTTTATTTTGGCAATCTCTAACACGAAGCTCTTTTCCGCTGCGCATGTCTGGCTATTAAACCCGAGACATCGAAAATGATTTATTTGGCTGAGCCGGAGGGGATTTTTCCGTGTTAGGGGACGTCAAGACTTTTTAGGACCTGCCGCAGTAGTTCAGCACAAGACATATCTGTGGAAACTGTTTTAGAGCTCTTTTTAGTGTCGTCTTGTTTATTTCTTACCTCGACGATTGAAAAAACAAATCGTTCAGCTGTTGAGTTATCAGACATGCCCCTCAAGGAATTTATTACTTGTATCCTGTCGTTCTTATAAAGTTCAGCAAATCTTTCAACGAGCTTGGCAGAACGGGAATGGTAAGGTACAATACCATTGACATAGGGTTTCGTCACCAGGCGAACAGGTTCCGGCTCCGCCACAGCCTCGAAGATCTTTTTCTGGAGTCTAGAAATGAGGTTAAACCGGAAAAAGGTTGAGTTCATAGACCGGAAGTCCTAAGTATACAGGTGTTTATTCCTTTAGGAATTCCTTATTTGAGATTTACGTTCGGTCCTTGATTCGTTCGCGCTACGTCAAATAAAATTCGAAAATGCAACATTAGCTTTGCAGGTTTACTGTACTCACTATTTTCGTTGACTTTCCAGGGGTGGAGAACTCTCTCCACAGCTCATGTTGTTAAATAATCACGGCACACAAAAAAAAAAACGCAAAACATTTACCTCCCGTGTAGTTCAGAGTTTTCTCTCTTTAGTTCAAGAATTTCTCTGTTCAGTTCTTTTATCTGGCACTCCCTGGCTACAAGTTCGTTCTTTGTGTAAGTCAACCTTTAATTTGTTAAAATAAAGAGAAAGTTAGCCTTTAGATTATCTTAATCGAATCAACATTTCCATATATCTATCTAGGAGGGCTAGCCTCTTTAGCTCCAGCGCGTTTCCAACATTTAGGTCTCGAAAGAAATTCAATTTGGGGGTTCTGGAATCAAGAATGGTTTCCAATCCCCCCCTAGGCATTAGCACAATGCGCTCACGCGAAAATTCATTTTTTCCCTTTCGTGTGACACACACGTACTTTGTGGCTCAGTTGCCTGGCAACCTCGGAGCGTGACATTGTTTAAGCGTCTATTTGTTTATACCTTTTCAATAAGCACTCACTTTTTACGCAATTCACCGATTTCTTGATAGTCTCCTTGTTGATTTTCTTGCAGCTGTTGACGTAAACCTCTCACCTCATCTTCGGCATCCGCTAATCTAACCAAAATTGATAAACAGAAAAAAAGTATTCAGTAACCTCATGCAATATTAATGGCATCTGTGCGTCCCTTCCAAACATTCTACTTTGTGCCAATGTTAGCGGACAAATTACTCATAACATTCGATTTCTTGATAAAGTTAATCACTGAAATTTAACGAAGTCAGTGGGACCTATCGCGCAATTTTTTTAAATTTCCATCGTGAGGTCTCAGTGAGGATCCGAAGTTAAATTTGTCCTTAGTGAAACTGGAAGAAACCCTATGTCCTGCTGAACTAAAAACAAAAATAAACAAAAAAGCTTTGTATGCTGTGAGCTAGTCGCATGATGATTACAGCAATTTAAGTTAATCAATACGTTTTTCTCATCGCCAGTTTTTTTTTTAAGCAGACTTACTTGATTCTCAGTTCCGCGGCTTCTACTTTGGAGGCACTCAAGTCCTCGTCCATTTTTTTAATCATGAGCTCGTACTTTTCCTTCACGACCTCTACATCTTCCGGGATGATTCTTGCAGTCACAAATCCATTGCAAAGCCAAGGTAAAAGTCGTTTCTTTAGTGCTTCGCTTCCGCCATAAATTCCTCCTTCAGAAGAACACAATTCCAGAAGATAAAACAGCTGTCCCTGTAGCTTGGCGTGTAACTCGATGAGATCACAGCAAAATACAGTGTTTTCTTCGCAACTGTTACGATAACTTGCGTCGAAAAACGTTGTTAACTGTTCGTGTAGAGATTTGAATTCCCCTGTGGCAATCAGGCGGCTGAGAAACCCTACAAAAGTTGTTCCAGCCATCGTACACAAACTACGAGAGCTATAAAATATTCTTCACACACAAAATGTTGTGTTAATGAAGTCTGTTAGCGACCGTTTTCAGAGATTCTGTTACAAGTTGTAAATCACGCATTCTCTTCCTCTACTTGCAAATGTTTTTAGCGCCCTCCACGCGCTCGCAATTTTAACACTTCACACCTTAAAACAAAGAAACTCGGCCAGATGAATACTTACAAATGTATAAGGATTCACCTGTAAAACTGACTAATGACTAGTTTTCAATAGAAAGCTTAGTATCCACTTCAACATGTTACCCAGCGTGTGAGAAAATTAATTCCTGTAAGACCATCCATTTACTGTTTACAAATGTTGTTTAAAGTAAATGCACCTGCCGCTATAACGGACAATTTGTGAGCTGGAAACATGAAGGATTATCGGGTTGTTCTAATTCACTAATGAACTGCAGGTGGTCTCAGTAAAGCTTAACGATAAATTTAGTTTCAAGGTTGCTGTGGGTCTTGGATTAGCGATCTTAGAGTACACAAATACAATTCATGGTTTGCAACAAATTTCTCGAGTCTTAAGACACGTAAAACTTTCCAGTACCGAAAACGTTTCGCAGCGATGCACTTGGGGACTGCAACTTTTTAACGCTTATATTTGACATCTCATGTCGCATAATGAAATGCAGTAAGGATAGTGGTGGGAATAACTAAATAAATATGGACAATTTTTAGTCGCTGCATGCAACTAGTAAGGCCATTCACCCAAACCCGTTATGGTTGAAACAATCAATTTTCCTTAACAACCTATAAAACGCTTTCCTTATTTCTGAAGAGTCTTTGTCAGTCTCTCTACAGTAAACACTTCAACCAACTAAATTTGACATTTGCATTTGGAGATCCGTGGTGTTGATTAACTCTCAATATGACACGACATATATTTGTCATATTTGTCATGTCATAAACGTGAGTAAATTCGCATTTCGCAAAACTTTTCATTAAACTCTCTCACCCAAAACCCTAGTATTTACCGGCCGGATATGCAAAACGATCGGGATTAAGCCTGCACAACCCTGACTGACCAGGTTGTCTTTTAATTGGCGCTAGTCAATGTCCGTAAAACTGAAATCAGTTTGGAATAACACTGTATAAGTTTCACAGGAGACATAGACTGGAAATAGCGGCATAGTTCCGACATGAACGTATGTTAAGCTCGATAACTCCGTTAAAATCAACACTTGTTCAACTTCTTTTCATTTTCCTAGAACAGCACTGTTGCCAATGTAGGTACCAGTATCAATCCAAACGCTGAGGCTAAAAAAAAATTGAACATCGCTACACTGACTACCCAAGCAAATCTAGCCAAATTAAGTAAAAACCTGTCTGCCCGCTCTTGACGTAAAAATATAGATCTTTATTATCAGAATTTATTCTACATTTCCCTCGCCACTGAGCAATTCGCATTTTATAACAAATAAGACTGTTCGACTAAACGTAAAAATTCACCAGTCTTTCTATCACAACATAAGGTCGTTACAACCATTTGGGACCTTAATGGTGATAGTACACCCGTTACCACTTCGACCCTTTTTACGTCCGCTGACAAGAGCCTGCGTTTCTACCAAGGCTATTTGTCAACATTGTCCAACTCTTCAAAAAAACGTCCGTGAAAACAGGTAAAACGCGTTGAATTAGCCCGCTTTGTGGATATCAAACAGCTTCGCGAGTTCATTGAGATCATCTTGATCTTTGCCTTCCTTGATGATCTGCAGAAAATGCAACCAGTGGATGAGTTTGAAATAAAAAGCGCAAAAAAGTGTAGGTGGTTTAAATCCGACTACTACCTCCAGCCCGCCATAGGCGGGGAAAGGGGGGAGGGGAGGGAGGGGGGGAGGAGGTGAGGAGAGGAGAGGCGGTCGAAGGAAAGAGATGCTGTGAGCGATGCTGATGTAGAAAAATCATTGAATAAAGTACCAATGATCATTTTCTCTAGTTTGCTTTTCGATTGAATGCAGTTCAACCACGCCCAAAGTAATCGCAACAACCAATCAGAGCAGAGATAAATATCATTTGGAGCCGCTAAAACTCATAGAAATTTGCGGTTGATCAAGTCCTGATGGATTTTAGTTTAAATCTTATTGGTTAAAACGTTGGTACGAGTTTTCTGGACCAATATAATGTGGAGCAAAACCAATTCAGTTCCTAATTATTTTCATCGAAAATTGTTCTTTGAGGTAATGTTAGTCTGGACTTTTTTCGCTAGTTTGTTGCACTTCGAGACATCACAACTCCATAGTAGCAGTTTTCCTTTTAGGCAGGGGGGGGGGAAAGAGATCTCATAGTAATCTGACCTTTCGAGCGATCGGCATTTTGTTGAAGATGTTCCACAGGACGACTCCCACAACTCTTTTTCCTTTCACGTAAAACACGACACCTTTGCCAAACTCCTCCGATGATTCAGCGGAGACTGGAGCGGGTGGCTCAGTGGAAACCGGAGAAGAGGCAGCACCCTTAGGTAAAAAAAAAAGTTAAGCACGCAAAATTAGATAGCGTAAAATAGAGTGGTCTCAGAATTTCTTTCAAAGTTTATCACTGTCAAGTTTTATACCTCGCCTTCGGTTTCTGAACGTAAACTTTCTCCCGTGGCCTCCACTACAGCTTTAGGAGTGTCAGCTTTCGTCGCCTTGGCCCAGACTCCCACGGTGGGGAGCATGGAATCTACAAGACCAATAGCCTCGTATCCAACATCAGGACCCAGGTCACTCCTACCAAGTAATACAAAGCATAGTTGTTGCAATTCCAGGTCAATGGACAATTTCCAAACCGCACCCTATTTCTTGTCAGGATATATTTATTCTCCTTGAAGCAGAAAGGCATTGCGAAGTCCTCATACTGGCCCTACCAATTTCGCGAATTTTACTGTTCGATCTCAATCGGCCATTCACGAATTCTTTTGCAAAATAAACTGATTTTACTCATCCCACGAGAATTTTAAGTTGGCTGACTTCAGCCGAAGTTCCGCATGCGTTCTTCTTGAAGCCATCACATTCATTTGATTCCCAAATCACGCCATTCATCTGCAAATCCATCGGTCAGTAAATTGTGTTTCCCCCCCAAGCTTTAATGCAATTCCCAACACTCTCTTTGGCAGAGGGATTTTGAAAAAAAAATCAGTTCGATTAAAATCTTCATTTGACAGAGAGAAAATCGGTTGGAAACTGCAAAACCGAAACCTAATTAATGGCCAATTAAAGCAACGAAAATATCTCAAGAGGCCAAACAGAACTCAAAGTAAGAATTTGCAACTCTATGGGGTGTCGGAAAACGCAAATGACAAGGTCGCGCCTGGTTTTTGAAAGGGTTCCGATTGATTGTGGTGTAAGACGAGTTTGGTTGAGGACAATCACAGAGCGAAGTTCTTTTAATTCTGAACTCAAAATTACCATTTCTACTGACCAAAACATGGACTGATGCCAATATGGGTTCCTAGAGCCAGTCATATTTTCTCCAGCCAGTCGGCCGCTGACCACAGCGTGATCGTGGTGTTCAACTCTTCGTCGGCCAAGGTTCGGATCATAGAAGCAAGCAGCATCACCGGCCTGACCAAAAAAATTTCCTTTAATTGGCACTTTAGGGGAAAAATTTTAAAAACTGATGCATATGCAGCCCTGTCTAGGAAATGAGGAAATAGGAGAGAAGGAGATATTGACCAAAGACACATGCAAACATGAGCAGCTATTTGAGTTGCTTACCACCCAAATATTAGACTTTGCTTCCAGCTCTGAGTTCACGTGATAACCACCAAGGATTGGGTCCACTTCAAGCCCAGCAGCACTTGCAAGCTCAACATTAGGTTCCAGACCTACTGCTACAATTATGTGATCTGCTTTGATCTATGATTTTATAGCAAAAGAAGGAAAAAATGAATCTAAGATAAAGTTAAATACTAGCATATAAAACATTGCTCTACCTCAAAATTATCAAAACTAACCTTAAACATAAGAGTTACTAAGCAAGAGGAATCACTATAATTTAGTTACTCACCTCATCACCAGAGTTAAGTCTCAGGTTTATTTGGCCATCACTAAATGACACATGTTCTACTGTAGAATTTGGTTTTACATCCACACCCTCTAGATGATATGAATCAATGGGAAAAGCATTACATGTGTTGGACTTAAAAAACTTGCAACAGAGTTGTATATAAGGCCTGATGTGCAGGAAACCTCATTGAATCATCAGATGGAAAGGTGGCTGAGAAAATTTCTTTAATTAGCCTATTGAAAGGTTGCCTTTTTGGACTGGAAGGCTTCTGCACCATGTGAGCCTAGATGATGCAAGGGTTACATATGCAACTTCAAAACTTTTCCTAAATATTTTTTCTAATCTTAGTAGACATGGCTGGATGAGGTTAACATAGCATAATGTGAGAAGATTGATAATAAAACTTGATACCCAGCTACCCATGCTTTTTGTCCACATCTGGCTTCATTAACATCCCTTCGTCAATTTACTCATGGTACAAAAAAAAATCTAAGTTTCTCCTACCTTTCCTGACTTTGTTAGTTGTCCATTCTGTAAGATACTTTGGCAACACTTTTCCCATGTTACCATCCTCTGGAAATACTTGCATCACATTCATTCCAGTTTTCTTTCCTGATGAAAAAAAAAAATTGAAAATGTCTCCCTTGGCAAATTGCAACATAAAGGTTTTAAGACTTAAACTTAAATCAATTGATGTTGCAAAGGTGAAAATATATATTTTTGATTGGTTCTTGCCTTTGATCTATTGGAGGGCAGATGCATAGATGGCAACACCATTAACAATAATTTACTTTTTTTATCATATGAAACAACGAGAATCCATGTTGCTATGTGTCTGTAAGGGAACTGATCACAGTAGATGTTAAGATGTGGAAAGAACATCACTCAGACACCCTCAGCTGCACCTTGTGTGTCATTTTTTTGTTCTGACCAAATTTGACCTATTACTGAACAGAAATACATGTACAGCAAAAGGAATTGATTTGTTTAATAGCTACTACAACAGTGTGGTACCTCTGTGGCCAAGTGCACAGGCCAGTTCACTTCCAAGAAAGCCTCCACCAACAACAACCACAGATTTGGCATCTTTGACAGCTTTATCAAGCTCCTTGAAATCTTTAATCTGAAAATATGACAAAGATTAGTCCTCATATTTTAGTCTTCCATTGAGTAATAACAAGACTAGTATAATTAGGCTTTTCAAACAAACATAACATATTAAAGAAGTGTAATTACTTCAAGAAATTTCAGGGTACTTTTAAGCAAAAATAAAGCAGGAAGGCACT